AGATCTCACAAGGAGGTTCTCTGAACAGTGCACCAACTCATTAGCATTAAAGATGATTTCAGTGTCTGTATATCAGAAATATGTATTATAAATATTCTGATATTGAGTATTAACAGTGGCTTTACACCTGATATTTACAATTTACAGTTGCTGTTTAATGTATGCAATATAAATGTCTAAATGGACAGTTATGAACAGTATAGTTCCCTAAAGATGAGTCAGGAGCAGACCAGTATACAGCATGGGAAAATGTGACACTTAAGACTCCTTTGTTTTTCTGATATAGAGATACTTTCATGAAAAGCTAACATTTTCTCTCGTGGTTTTTTCCCTTCCTCTCTTTCCTGTCTCCTGTCATCATGATATATTCTAGTTCTTTCCTTCTCATAGTGTTTCCAAAGAATGTGGACTGTGCTTTTCTCAGGGTGATAAACAGTTATCTGTGTGAGTTAAGACAACTTTTTTATCTCTTTGTCAGCCATGGTGTTTTCATTTGTTTTCTTTCTGTCAAGCCAGGTATCTGTGTGAGTTAAGACAACTTTATTATCTCTTTGTCAGCCATGGTGTTTTCATTTGTTTTCTTTCCGTCAAGCCAGGTATCTGTGTGAGTTAAGACAACTTTATTATCTCTTTGTCAGCCATGGTGTTTTCATTTGTTTTCTTTCCGTCAAGCCAGGTATCTGTGTGAGTTAAGACAACTTTTTTATCTCTTTGTCAGCCATAGTGTTTTCATTTGTTTTCTTTCTGTCAAGCCAGGTATCTGTGTGAGTTAAGACAACTTTTTTATCTCTTAGTCAGCCATGGTGTTTTCATTTGTTTTCTTTCTGTCAAGCCAGGTATCTGTGTGAGTTAAGACAACTTTTTTATCTCTTTGTCAACCATGGTGTTTTCATTTGTTTTCTTTCCGTCAAGCCAGGTATCTGTGTGAGTTAAGACAACTTTATTATCTCTTTGTCAGCCATGGTGTTTTCATTTTTGTTTTCTGTCAAGCCAGGTCCCTGTGTGAGTTTTTCAATACCTTCTTTACTATTGTTTATTTTACTTTGGGGTTAAACTGTCCATGTTGTACATAGCTCTGTAAAACACCAGAACATTTTCACCTCAGTTCAAAAATGGCATTTTGTCAACATCTTCCCAACTTCTTTCAGTACTTTCAGTGCCAAGCAGTTGCTCCTTTTATCCCAAGGTTTTAAGCTTAAAAGTGTTTCCTACTTAATTATAAATAAGTTCATTAGAGACATATGGGACAGAAATAGGTAAACTACACATTCAGATGTAAAAGGATAATATAATTAGTGTATTTGATAGAAGGCAGCAAGAACATTATATTGTCTGTGGAAACACTAAGAAATGTATGATGATTATGTTAGTTATTGAAAGAGTTCAGGCACCCAAACACTTGAAAACATGGACTTGCTTCACACTGTCCCATTTACTTTGGTGTTGCAACATGGAGCACATTATTTCTTCATAATCTTTTCCTACTGCTCAAACCAAGAACTTTGAGTTACATTTTTGTTATAGTTTTATGTAATTAATTTTTCACTAATATAAACAGTTTATCTTTGTATCACAATTTGTTTGGATTATACCCACCAACCTGGCATCTATTACATGGATCTTGTATGATAAGGTTTTGAAAAAGGTAGGAGCCCGAAGACAACTTATCACAGACATCAGAAGGAGACAGTCATCATTTTTCGGCCATGTTATGAGAAGAGTGAAAATAGAACATGTGGTGACCACTGGAAAGATCTGTGGAAGGAGGTGATAGAGGAAGACAACGAGAGAAGATGCTTGAAAGTTTTGTTGCATGGCATGGAGGTGTGTCGGCACACGAACTGATACATGCTGCAGGAGATCGTAGATTATGGAGAGGCATGATCGCCCACGCCAGTCGGCAAGGCACCTGATGATACGCTACTGCAGCTGAACACATTCTTTACAGAACACTATATAATCTACACACACAAACATGCACACATGCAGCACACACTCACACAGAAGCATGCAGACACACACACACACATACACACAACTATCAGCACATAGTGTATTTACGAAAAGTTGCAACAGACAGACTGAAAAATATGTTGACGAATGTAAGACCGCTGTCATTTGGACAATAGTTGGCATTATCACCCTGAGGGACAATTTTTCAGGAAAAGTAGACCCAGCTACACACTGTAGCATCTACTAGGAGAAAACCTAGCTTGTTTCAGTGTTACAAGTATAATGACGTTATTTCTTATTAATCCGTTAATTTATCTAAGCTGTCATGACGTTTAAACAGTTGTTTACTAAATGTAACAGGTACAGTAAAGCCATAGAGGCTAAAAAGGAAAGAGCAAGCAAGAGCTCTCAGAACTTTGGTGCTAAAGGAATCAGACAAGGCAATCCCTCACAGGTCAGTGCTTGTGGTCAGATTTCTAAAGCCATTAACCAAGAATATAAAGAAATCCTTATTTACAAATTATAAACTGTAGAATGTAATTAACATTGAACATTTAGCATCATAAGTCACAGCACACAGATTTTTACTAAGAATCATAATACAAATATGTAGGAAGAAAATGCAACCAGAAATAGGTGAAGAGTAGTGTGGGTTTATAGAAGGCAAGAGTACAACAAATGATGGATACCTCCTGAGAACAATAATAGAATGTTCAGTAGAAGTCAGTAAAGACCTACATCTCTGAATCATTGATCACACAAAGGCTTTTGATAGAGTAGGACACATCAACATCATAAATATGCTTACTCTTCTGCAAATTGATGGGAAAGACCTTAGACTGATTAAGAACAGATCCTGGGAACAACAGGCTGATGTAGAAAATAGCTAGGTCAAAACCAGCCAGGTGAAAGGTGTGTCACAGGTGTTTAATTTTCTGTGTATAGTGAAAATCTTATCAGGCATTTAAAAAACTTGAGGGGAACCATCGTGGGAAGATATAACATCAAAAATATAATATATGCAGGTGATGCAGTGTTAATTGCAGACAGTGAAGAGGATCTGCAGTGTTAATTGCAGACAGTGAAGAGGATCTGCAGTGTTGACTGCAGACAGTGAAGAGGATCTGCAGTGTTGATTGCAGACAGTGAAGAGGATCTACAGTGTTGACTGCAGACAGTGAAGAGGATCTGCAGTGTTGATTGTAGACAGTGAAGAGGATCTGCAATGTTGATTGCAGACAGTGAAGAGGATCTGCAGTGTTGTTTGCAGACAGTGTAGAGGATCTGCAATGTTTAGTGGATGCAGTAATAAATAGTTCATCTGAGCAACTAGGCTTAGAATTAAATTGTAAGAAAAGAGAAATTATTTTTGTCACCAAGAAGAAAGAAACAAAACACTGAAATACATGCAAACAGTGTAATTCTGAAACAAGTGAATCAGTATGAATATATTGGAACAGTCATAACATTTGATGCCAGATTCCCTGCAGAAAACAGAACTAGAATTACCATGGCAAAAGTGGCCTTTGGCAAGATACAACAGATCTTCTTCGTAAATTCTGTGTGGCGTTGGTAGTCATGTCTATCCACAGCCTTCTGTCTCGTGTACTTTCAGTCAGCTCTGACACAGATGATCTTCCATACCACGATGTCAAACTGTCCAGCTTCTGTTCTCTCGGTCTCCTTATGCCTCTCCTCCCTCCAGCTTTCCTACTGTCACAATGTACTCGTTTTTCTCCTTCTTATCGCATGACCAAACAATGTAGATTGTCTTCTTCTAATGTTGGCAATCAGTTCTCTTCATGAGTCAGTTTATTTCAAGACGTCTTCATTACTTTTTTTTAATCTGTCCAGGGTATTCTCATCATTCGTTTATAAAACCACATCTCAGCAGCTTCCAAAATTTGTTTCCCTTATTTACTAACTGTCGATGATTCATATATGTATATCAATATAGGATTTATATAGCTTTTACAAATTCTCCTTCTCGTCTCAATTGACAAAGCCAGATTGCATAAAATATTCTTCATTTTGTAAAATGCTGCCTTTGCTTGAGCTATAGGACATTTAATGTTCTTAATACATCTTCCATCTGATATTATCAGGGTACCCAAGTACTTAATTAAACATATCAGCTTGCTTGAGGTTTGTCCCATTGACTTTGACGTTGCATTTTGGACGGGAAGTTTTCTTTGTAATTACCATTACTTGTGTTTTTTTTTTTCTGCTGTTCAAACTAAGACCTTTTTTCGCTTTCTGTTATGATTATATCCATCATTTCTTGCAGTTGTGTTTCATTTTCACCGATCAACACTATATCTTCAGCATATCCCAGGTTGTTAACAATATGCCTGCCAACCTTTATACCTGGAATACCATGTGTGGATCTAAATATTATTTCACTAAAGAAATTGAATCTATCGGGTGATAGTACACATCTCTGTCTAATGCCTTGTTTAATGTCTTGAAAAGTTCCAACTCTTCAAAGCAAAAGATCCTACAAAAGATACTGAACAATAAAATGGTGTCAGCTGCAGTAAGAAGAAGAGTGGTCAAGTACAGTCTAGAATAGTGGTCAAGTACAGTCTAGAATAGTGGTCAAGTACTGTCTAGAATAGTGGTCAAGTACTATCTAGAACCTGTATTGTTATCTTCCTGTAAGACATGGATAGTGAACAGACGCACTGACAAACGTTTATTTGCAGTGATGTGGTCTTTGAGAATACCGGCATGTCTAGAACCAGGGTTGTTATCTTCCTGTAAGACATGGATAGTGAACAGATGCACTGACAAACATTTATTTGCAGTGATGTGGTCGTTGAGAATACCGGCATGTCTAGAACCTGTGTTGTTATCTACCTGTAAGACATGGATAGTGAACAGACGCACTGACAGACATTTATTTGCAGTGATGTGGTCTTTGAGAATACCGGCATGTCTAGAACCTGTGTTGTTATCTTCCTGTAAGACATGGATAGTGAACAGACGCACTGACAAACATTTATTTGCAGTGATGTGGTCTTTGAGAATACCGGCATGTCTAGAACCTGTGTTGTTATCTACCTGTAAGACATGGATAGTGAACAGACACACTGACAGACATTTATTTGCAGTGATGTGGTCTTTGAGAATACTGGCATGTCTAGAACCTGTGTTGTTATCTACCTGTAAGACATGGATAGTGAACAGACACACTGACAAACATTTATTTGCAGTGATGTGGTCTTTGAGAATACTGGCAAGTCTAGAACCTGTGTTGTTATCTACCTGTAAGACATGGATAGTGAACAGACGCACTGACAAACATTTATTTGCAGTGATGTGGTCTTTGAGAATACCGGCATGTCTAGAACCTGTGTTGTTATCTACCTGTAAGACATGGATAGTGAACAGACGCACTGACAGACATTTATTTGCAGTGATGTGGTCGTTGAGAATACTGGCATGTCTAGAACCTGTGTTGTTATCTACCTGTGAGACATGGATAGTGAACAGATACACTGACAGACATTTATTTGCAGTGATGTGGTCTTTGAGAATACCGGCATGTCTAGAACCTGTGTTGTTATCTACCTGTGAGACATGGATAGTGAACAGACGCACTGACAGACATTTATTTGAAGGGATGTGGTCTTTGAGAATACCGGCATGTCTAGAACCTGTGTTGTTATCTACCTGTAAGACATGGATAGTGAACAGACGCACTGACAGACATTTATTTGAAGGGATGTGGTCTTTGAGAATACTGGCAAGTCTAGAACCTGTGTTTTCTTCCTGTGAGATATGGATAGTGAACATTTTTTTGCAGTGATGTGGTCTTTGAGAATACCGGCAAGAATAAAAGAATACTGTGGAATGATAGAAAAACAAATGAGGCAAATCTCATGGTGACAGATGAACACCCTAAACTGATTTGAGAAATTAAACGTTGACAGTTGGTGTTATTGGACTTATGAGACACAGTGGACTTGAGAATTTGCAAACAGCAGGCAAATTTGTTGGGAAAGGAACATGGGGAAGGCAGAAAGATCATAGAAACTACACAGCTTAGCCATATAGATTTGGGATAGTCGAAAACGCTCACCTTATCTGTGATTCTGGTGATTGTGTAATATAGCTGATTAACACCACACATAATGATAATGAATGTTGACTTAATTAATGCTAATATATGGTTGTGACTTACACATTAGATAATATCCACCTGAACAATGTTGGTTGAAATAGGACAAGAACACCTGGCTATCTGTGATAGAAATGCTGAGAAAGAAAGACAAGTTGCCTGTTGTAGCTTTCACATTTTCAAAGAAAAAGATTGAAGAAAACTCAGCCAACCTGCAGAGTGTGGATCTGACCACAGCCTCAGAGAAGAGTGAGATCCACATCTTCTTTCACAAGTGTATATCTAAACTGAAGGGATCAGACAGAAGCCTACCGCAAGTGAGTGTTTCAGTTGTTTGACTGAGTGTTTTGTTATTCAAGACACTGTTTCTTTGTCAAGTTGAATGCTTAGTTGTTTTAAGTTATATTTTGTTATTCATGCCAATATTTAATTGTTAAGTTTAGCACTTGCCCGGCTCGCTAGTGCAGTTGGTTAAAGCTGACTTTGAGGTGACCAGGTGACGAGCTACTTGTGGTCTGGGTTCACTCCCAGGGGTAGGCAGAAAAGTCACATTTCTCCCAGATGTGGAAACAAGGCCGAAAGGTTGCGATATCAATAGTACCGAGCCAAAGGATTAACAACTCAGGGTTTATAGATTTTAAAAAAAAAGTTTAGCACTTAATTTTTTTAGTACTTCATGGTAATAGTTTCTTTAAAAAAAAAAATATCAGCTGTTTTGTTTCATGCGTGTAGTTTTTAAATTAAGTAATTTAAAAAAAAAAATTGAGTTGACAGCTGTGTACTGGATTTTATCTCATTGTCTCCTGAAAAATGTTTTTATAATTATTTCAAAAAGATTGTTTAAAATTATTATAATAGGTTTTTTTCTGTGAGCTGAGAACTGGGGAGTATGCCAGAGAGGCTGCAGTGTATGCCCCTGGCACAGTAGTTAAAGGTTTACTCCCAGCACAGATTTTAGATTTGAATTTTCCTTATCTCTTGGGTAGTGACATTGGTTACCTCACTTTATTTTGGGATAAGGATGGTAAAACACAACAAAAATAACAGGGTAGTTGGAAACAGTTAAGCTTCTATTGTAGCTGAAAACAGTTAAGCTTCTATTGTTGCTGGAAACAGTAAAGCTTCCATTGTAGCTGGAAACAGTTTAGCTTCTATTGTTGCTGGAAACAGTAAAGCTTCCATTGTAGCTGGAAACAGTAAAACTTCCATTGTAGCTGGAAACACTAAAGCTTCCATTGTAGCTGGAAACAGTAAAGCTTCCATTGTAGCTGGAAACAGTAAAGCTTCCATTGTAGCTGGAAACAGTAAAACTTCCATTGTAGCTGGAAACAGTAAAGCTTCCATTGTTGCTGGAAACAGTAAAACTTCCATTGTAGCTGGAAACAGTAAAACTTCCATTGAAGCTGGAAACAGTAAAACTTCCATTGTAGCTGGAAACAGTAAAACTTCCATTGTAGCTGGAAACAGTAAAGCTTCCATTGTAACTGGAAACAGTAAAGCTTCCATTGTAGCTGGAAACAGTAAAGCTTCCATTGTAGCTGCAAACAGTAAAGCTTCCATCATAGCTGGAAACAGTAAAGCTTCCATTGTAACTGGAAACAGTAAAGCTTCCATTGTAACTGGAAACAGTAAAGCTACACTATAATATTTCCTGCAAAAAAATGTTACAAAATTAACTGTCTAGTCACAGCTCTTTAGACAGATTCTGCCTGGTGGAAGTGATTTGTGCACAGTTACATTCAGGTTAGTTACATTTCCTTTACAGGATTTTTCTCTAGGCAAATTTACGTCCACTAGTTTGCCATTGCTTTCTGGACGGTCTGCTTCTTTATACCACTGTCAAAACCAACGCAAGGTGCATGGCCCACAGCTGGAATCAAACCCGGCACTCCAGCATTACGAAGCGTTCACATGGACTTAGCCACATAGCCGACGCACAGTTACATACCAAAAATAAATATACACATCTTTTAGTAAGAAAATGAATAATTATGGTGTGAGAACAACATGAAGAAGACACTGTTAAGTTCTAAACAGTTGTGTTTTTATTTGTAAACTGTGTGCTCATTGATGTGTGATTTTCTAAATTGTGTGCTCATTGATGTGTGATTTTCTAAATTGTGTGCTCATTGATGTGTGATTTTCTAAATTGTGTGCTGTTTGATGTGTGATTTTCTAAATTGTGTGCTCATTGATGTATGATTTTCTAAATTGTGTGCTGATTGATTTGTGATTCTATAAATTGTGTGCTGACTGATGTCTTGTTTTCTATATTGTGCCCTGACTGGTGTGTTGTTTTGTAAATTGTGTGCTGTTTGCTGTGTAGTATGCTTTTGTTTGATGATGTGCCAGTTGTTGTTGCTGATAGATCTGTTGTTTCAAGAGTATGTGCTAAGAATGTATTTTCTCCACTGATTTGAGACAATAACATGTTTCAACTTCAGGTGCTACAGTTTGAGGATTTGCTGAAGCGGGGACTTGGTGTCCACCACAGCGGAGTACTGCCAATACTGAAAGAGGTTGTGGAGATGTTGTTTCAGAAAGGCCTAGTCAAGGTAAGAATTATGTGCTTTTATCCAAGAACTGAAGCACTTTACATTGAAGTTGTTTTTCACTGTAGGTTAGATAATATAACAAGACTATTAAACAAACACACACACACACAAAACTACAGATAGAATTCACATTTAGGTACATCAGAAACTTGGCAGCATATAGGTCCTCACAAGTGAATGGTTGAGACCTCAAAGATGAAGGATTAACAGACCTTACAAGTGTTGAGTTGGCAGACCTAACAAATTATTTGTTAGAACTTCACAGATAATGGGCTGAGAAGCCTCATAATTGATTAGCCAGGACCTCACAAATTATTTCTTAAAACCTCCCAAATGATGGGTTGACAAACCTCACACATGATGAGTTGACAAGCCCCAAAAATTATGGGTTTTAAGCCTTACAAATAATGAGTTGACAAGCCCCACACATTTTGGGTTATAAGTAGGGCTGTACCGAATATTCGCTTCGTATTCGCTTCAGGGCCGAATAGTGGACCCCGTAACTATTCGGTATTCGGCCGAATAGTTGCGGTCGGGCCAAATACGAATAGTGGTTACCTCACAACCGTTTCTGGACTGGTGGAAAAAAAACATCAAGACTTCCCACCTTGGTTTATACTGTGAAGCGTTATCTTTGTGCACCACCTACGAGCGTACCAAGTGCCCCTTTATTTCCATCTTGTATGTGTTGCGAGTATAGTGTTTTTAGGTGTGTTGCTGCAACAACAAAATGCAACACTTAAAAATGTAAGAGGGGCAGAAAAGCAAGTGTTCTAGTGTTGTCGGCTTGATTTCTTTGAGTGGAGTGTCCTCTTCGTTAATTCTTTCAAGTAACGGGAGTTCGTCATCATTTATGGGTGTCGTATCTGTTCTTTCGTTGTCTCGTGGAAACGGCAGCCGCTGAATGTTTTGATCGACATTCGGTTTCTTGATTGTCTTTGTTGTTTGATCTTCTGGCGTTGGCCACCCGGCGTCTGGTTTCGTGAGCTCGTGGGGGGCTGGGCGACTTGTAAGGACGGCATTGTTTTCTTCGTCGGCGTTATTTTTGTTTTTGATGTTTCGCCTTGCGGGTTTTCATTTGGACTCTCTGTATTTGTCGTATTTTCCTGTTTAGTACAGCTGAAAATACCTTCAGTGAGACAAAAAGCTGGCCTAATGCTGACAACATGGAACGAAGGTTTTTCATGGAGGTGTGTCAGCACACAAACTAATACGTACTGCAGGAGATCGCAGATTGTGGCGAGGCATAATCGCCCATGCCAGCCGGCAAAGCACATGATGATGATGATTCACTATTCGTATTCGTATTCGGCCGAATAGTATAAGCCCCAAAAATGATGGGTTATAAGCCCCACAAATAAAGAGTTGACAAGCCCAAACAAATGATGAGTCGACAAGCCTCACAAATAAAGGGTTGACAAGCCTCACAAATGATGAGTCGACAAGCCTCACAAATGATGAGTTGATAAGCCCCACAAATTAGGGGTTAAAAGCCTCACAAATGATGAGTTAATAAGCCCCACAAATGATGAGTTGACAAGCCCCACAAATTATGGGTTAAAAGCTCCACAAATTATTGGTTATAAGCCTCACAAATGATGAGTTGACAAGCCTCACAAATGATGAGTTGACAAGCCTCACGAATGATGAGTTGACAAGCCTCACAAATGATGAGTTGACAAGCCCCACAAATAATGAGTTGACAAGCCTCACAAATGATGAGTTTACAAGCTTCACAAATGATGAGTTGACAAGCCTCACAAATGATGAGTTGACAAGCCTCACAAATGATGAGTTGACAAGCCCCACAAATTATGCGTTATAAGCCTCACAAATGATGAGTTGATAAGCCTCACAAATGATGAGTTGACAAGCCTTACAAATGATGAGTTGACAAGCCTCACAAATGATGAGTTGATAAGCCCCACACATTATTGGTTATAAGCCTCACAAATGATGAGTTGATAAGCCTCACAAATGATGAGTTGACAAGCCCCACAAATTATGCATTATAAGCCTCACAAATGATGAGTTGACAAGCCTTACAAATGATGAGTTGACAAGCCTCACAAATGATGAGTTGACAAGCCCCACAAATTATGCGTTATAAGTCCCACACATTATGGGTTATAAGCCTCACAAATGATGAGTTGATAAGCCTCACAAATTATGGGTTATAAGCCTCACAAATGATGAGTTGACAAGCCTCACAAATTATGGGTTAAAAGTCTCACAAATTATGGGTTATAAGCCCCACAAATTATGGGTTATAAGCCTCACAAATGATGGGTTGACAAGCCTCACAAATGATGAGTTGACAAGCCTCACAAATGATGAGTTGATAAGCCCCACAAATTATGGGTTTTAAGCCTCACAAATGATGGGTTGACAAGCCCCACAAATAATGGGTTATAAGCCTCACAAATAAAGGGTTGACAAGCCTCACAATTGATTGCCCAGGACCTCACAAATGACAGTTTGATAGACTTCACAAATTATTTCTTAAAACCTCACAAAACTTGGGTTACAAGCCTTACAATTAATGGGTTGATAAGTCTCATAAATAATGGGTTAATAAGCCCCACAAATAATGGGTTGATAAACCTCACAAATTTTTTGTTAAAACCTCACAAAACTTGGGTTACAAGCCTCACAAATAATGGGTTTCAAGTCTCACAAATAATGGGTTGATAAGCCTCACAAATATTGGGTTGATAAACCTCACAAATTATTTTTTTAAACCTCACAAAACTTAAGTTACAAGCCTCACAAATAATGGGTTGATAAGCCTCACAAATGATAGGTTATAAGCCTCACAAATAATGGGTTGATAAACCTCACAAATTATTTATTAAAACACCCCACAAAACTTGAGTTACATCAAAGCTTGCATTAGTTGTCTCTTCAACACACATCAAAGCTTGCACCAGTTGTCTCTTCAACACACATCAAGGTTTGCACCAGTTGTTTCTTCAACACACATCAAAGCTTGCATCAGTTGTCACTTCAACACACATCAAAGCTTGCATCAGTTGTCACTTCAACACACATCAAAGCTTGCACCAGTTGTCTCTTCAACACACATCAAAGCTTCCACCATTTGTCTCTTCAACACACATCAAAACCTGGTGCTAAAGGTACAACAGGGTTTGTCGAAAAAGTTAAAGGAAAAACATGCAATATTTCTTTTCTTTCTCTTATGAGAATTTCTTTAATCCTGGGATTTTTTTATTTGTGTTTTGTTTGTTGATAAAGACAGGTCAAAATTTTTACTTCTTGTCATGCATCTTTTCTTTTATTAAGATTCCTGTATGGTTTTTATGTTATTTCAGCAAGCATTTTTTTAGGTTTGCTTTCCTAAGGTCAAAATTAGGCAGTCAGTGATCATCAATCCAATTTTCAGTAACATAGGACAGGTGGCTGGTGAGAAGGCTGGGTCAGCGGCTTAGGAAACCAAACCTAAAAAAATTTAAAAAATGCTTGTTGAAAGTGAATGTACTGAGCCACAGGATTAATTAAACAGTTTGACAAAACTCCTCCATGATGATGAATAGTATTTGGGTATAGACATTTTACTATGCATCATCAAGGTCATACTTATAAATTTTGTTATGTCTGCTTTGTTCTTGGCTTTCCAGATTCTCTTTGCCACAGAAACGTTTGCCATGGGAGTCAATATGCCAGCTAGAACAGTAATCTTTGACAGTATCCGCAAACATGATGGCATCAACTTCCGCAACCTCCTGCCAGGAGAGTACATACAAATGGCGGGAAGGGCAGGCAGACGAGGATTGGACACTACGGGAACTGTGATCCTCCTGTGCAAGGGGGATGTCCCTGAGATGTCTGAGCTGCACCAGATGATGCTGGTATGTTATAGTCTGTCTGTCTGAGCTGCACCAGATATTGCTGGTATGTTATAGTCTGTTTGTCTGAGCTGCACCAGATATTGCTGGTATGTTATAGTCTGTCTGTCTGAGCTGCACCAGATATTGCTGGTATGTTATAGTCTGTCTGTCTGAGCTGCACCAGATATTGCTGTTATGTTATAGTTTGTCTGTCTGAGCTGCACCAGATATTGCTGGTATGTTATAGTCTGTCTGTCTGAGCTGCACCAGATATTGCTGGTATGTTATAGTCTGTCTGTCTGAGCTGCACCAGATATTGCTGGTATGTTATAGTCTGTCTGTCTGAGCTGCACCAGATATTGCTGGTATGTTATAGTCTGTCTGTCTGAGCTGCACCAGATATTGCTGGTATGTTATAGTCTGTCTGTCTGAGCTGCACCAGATATTGCTGGTATGTTATAGTCTGTCTGTCTGAGCTGCACCAGATATTGCTGGTATGTTATAGTCTGTCTGTCTGAGCTGCACCAGATATTGCTGGTATGTTATAGTCTGTCTGTCTGAGCTGCACCAGATATTGCTGGTATGTTATAGTCTGTCTGTCTGAGCTGCACCAGATATTGCTGGTATGTTATAGTCTGTCTGTCTGAGCTGCACCAGATATTGCTGGTATGTTATAGTCTGTCTGTCTGAGCTGCACCAGATGATGCTGTTATGTTATAGTTTGTCTGTCTGAGCTGCACCAGATGATGCTGTTATGTTATAGTCTGTCTGTCTGAGCTGCACCAGATGATGCTGTTATGTTATAGCTTGTCTGTCTGAGCTGCACCAGATGATGCTGTTATGTTATAGTTTGTCTGTCTGAGCTGCACCAGATGATGCTGGTATGTTATAGTTTGTCTGTCTGAGCTGCACCAGATGATGCTGGTATGTTATAGTTTGTCTGACTGAGCTGCACCAGATGATGCTGGTATGTTATAGTCTGTCTGTCTGAGTTGCACCAGATGATGCTGGTATGTTATAGTTTGTCTGTCTGAGCTGCACCAGATGATGCTGGTATGTTATAGTTTGTCTGTCTGAGCTGCACCAGATGATGCTGGTATGTTATAGTTTGTCTGTCTGAGCTGCACCAGATGATGTTGGTATGTTATAGTTTGTCTGTCTGAGCTGCACCAGATGATGCTGGTATGTTATAGTTTGTCTGAGCTGCACCAGATGATGCTGTTATGTTATAGTTTGTCTGAGCTGCACCAGATGATGCTGGTATGTTATAGTTTGTCTGAGCTGCACCAGATGATGCTGTTATGTTATAGTTTGTCAGAGCTGTACCAGATGATGCTGTTATGTTATAGTTTGTCTGTCTGAGCTGTACCAGATGATGCTGTTATGTTATAGTTTGTCTGAGCTGCACCAGATGATGCTGGTATGTTATAGTTTGTCTGAGCTGCACCAGGCAATGCTGGTATGTTATAGTTTGTCTATTTAAACTGCACCAGATGATGCATGTATGTTATAAATTGTCTGTCTGGATAAGATAATGCCAGTATATGAACAGTTTGAATGCCTTAAATCTGCTCACTGTTTTATGGTGTTTGTATGTTTTGTAGCACCTGTACGGTAGCGCAGTAGCTCTCAAGCTTGCCTGCAGGTCTTTTTCTCTGAGAAAATTATTCTGTGTTCTGAGAAGTATTCTGGGTAGTAAAGGCAGCCAGCTTGACCACATCACTCACCAAGCACCTGTGGTCTGCGAGGCTGGTATCAAGTGCCCATCATGCCTAAAGACCCGCAGACAGAACCTTGACTTGACTAACTGTTGACATATTCACTCTATTGTAGGGGAAGCCGACCCTGCTGCAGTCTCAGTTCCGTCTCACCTACACCATGATCCTCAACCTGATGAGAGTGGAGCAGTTGAGAGTGCAGGACATGATCAAGAGAAGCTTCTCAGAGTTCCACAACCAGAAGGATGTGGCCGTCCACAAGGAGTCCCTAGAGCAGCTGAAGAAACGAATGGCCAGCATTCAGAACATTGAGTGCTACTTGTGTTCACTGGATCTGGAGAAATATTATGAGCAGTGCAGTGAATACTTTCGGTTACAGAAACACATCCAGGTATTCTGTTTAACATAATTGCTGTAAATTGTGCCGTATAAGTCAACCAGATGTACAAGTTGACCAGGTGTACAGGTTGACCTGGTGTACGGGTTGATATGGTGTGCAGGTTGACTGGGTGTACAGGTTGGTCAGGTGTACAGGTTGACCAGGTGTACAGTTTGACCAGGTGTACAGGTTGACCAAGTGACAGGTTGACCAGGTGTACAGGTTGACCAGGTATACAAGTTGACCTGGTGTACAGGTTGACCAGGTGTACAAGTTGACCTGGTGTACAGGTTGACCTGGTGTACAGGTTGACCGTGTGTACAAGTTGACCTGGTGTACAAGTTGACCAGGTGTACAAGTTGACCAGGTGTACAAGTTGATCAGGTGTACAGGTTGACCTGGTGTACAGGTTGACCAGGTGTACATGTTGATCAGGTGTACAGGTTGACCATGTGTACAGGTTGACCAGGTGTACAAGTTGACCAGGTGTACAAGTTGACCAGGTGCACAGGTTGACCAGGTGTACAGGCTGAGTATGAGATTTCTCAGCTGAAAATTCTGAGTTAGGCCTGTACCTACCAAAAACATTTTATTCCTATCTTATAAGTTGATCACTATTTTTGCATAGATGTTTTAAGGCTTGAAAACTCGACGTATACGCTACAGTTTATGGTGTTTGCAACTTTTATTTATCTATGGCCTGTGCTAAACATGACCTCTGAACTTTTATTTATCTTTGGCCTATGCTAAACATGACCTCTGACACCAAAACAAGAGGGAGGTAACAGTATGTGAAATGAGACACTTCTGAAACTGTTGTTGTCATCCAAAGAGATAAAATGAGGAACAGGAAACAGTAATATTGAAAACATATTTCTCTTCACAATAAGAACTCATCACTTTCACAATAAAACAATCTTGAACAGCACAATGAATTTGAAGCAAGAAAGCCATCATCAGCAATGATGACATTTAAGAACAATGATACAAACAAAATACATAAAAATTACATAGCTTTACAGCAAGGACTGCTGTCACAAAATCTCCATCCTTGCTTGATGAGTAGAGGCTCTGTGTCACTTTTTATTGCACGAGTAAGATATTGGACCAGAAGTTACCTAGACAGGAGTGATAATCAGATGTTGTGAGAGCAACATTGAAAGAACCATAAGGGTAGTATCTTGTAGAGTATATACAGTCCATTAAAAACATAACATATATGTGTTCATGAAAATACAAACCTTTGAACAATTTTACAGACAGTAGAGGATGATTTTAGACTATTGTAGGAAGGGCTCAAGATGGTTTCCATTAATGCACAGACATTTATTATTAAGAACTTCTGCTTGAGTAACAGTAGCCAAGAGATATTGATGGCCAAGGGATAACAGTAGCCAAGAGATAGTGATGGCCAAGGGATAACAGTAGCCAAGAGATAGTGATGGCTAGGGGATAACAGTAGCCAAGAGATAGTGATGGCCAAGGGATAACAGTAACCAAGGGATAACAATGGCCAAGGGATAACAATGGCTAAGGGATAACAATGGCCAAGGGATAACAATGGCCAAAGAATAACAATGGCCAAGGAATAACAATGGTCAAGGGATAACACCACACATGTCTACTTAGAATTACCAAATTTTCTGGCCAGACACAATCTCAAACACTAAACTACTTCAAGTCAAAAACCAAGAAACTTTAGACAGTATGATAACCAAGAGAAGATGGAAATGGCTTGGCCACGTTGTGAGAATGAATCCTGATATACCCACCAAAATAGCTCTCACATGGACACCAGAGGGAAAGAGAAAACAGGGGGGCCCAAAAACAACATGGAAACGAACAATGGAAAGTGACCTGAGTACGGCACCTTTGACATGGAAAACTGCACTGAAGATTGCACAGGACAGGAAAGCATGGAAAGTCCTCTCTGAAGCCTCATGTGCCACTAGGCATAATGAGAACTGATGAAGGGATAACAATGGCCAAGAGATAACAATGGCCAAGGGATAACAGTGGCCAAGGAATAGTAAAAACCAAGGGATAATGATGGCCAAGGGATAATGATGGCCAGGGGATAATGATGACCAAGGGATAATGATGGCTAAGGGATAACAATGTGTAAGGGATAACAATGACCAATGGATAACAATGACCAAGGGATAACAATGGCCAAGGGATAATGATGACCAAGGGATAATGATGACCAAAGAATAACAATGACCAAGGGATAACAATGGCCAAGGGATAACAATGACCAAGGGATAATAATGACCAAGGGATAATAATGGCCAAGGGATAATGATGGCCAAGGGATAATGATGACCAAGGGATAGTGATGACCAAGGGATAGTGATGGCCAAGGGATAATGATAGCAAAATATGTACTGTCATTTCTTCCTACGTTTTATTGTTTCTTCCTGGTGACGAATATTTCTGAACATATGTAATTGTTCTGTTCATGTATTATTGTTTCTTTTCAGTGAGATCCATTTCTGAACATATATACTTGTTCTAGACATTTATTATTGTTGCTTTCTAATGTCACAGTTATTGACAAGCATTGTTCTTTCATTGGATATATGTTTATTTCTTCCTAGTGACAACCATTTCTAGACATACATTATTTCTTCTCATATTTTATTCTTTTTTCCAGTGACAATTATTTATATGCATGCATTGTTGTTTCTTCCTATTTATATTGTTTTCCCCATTCAACCTGTAATAACCTGGTGGTGTTTTCCCCGCAGTCTGTGATATTCAGCCATCCCGCAGCAGTCAAGACTCTGTCCCCAGGTCGAGTGGTGATGATCAGGCGACCTCTGGGCCAAGCTGTGCTGGGTGTCCTCCTCCAGTCTAGCATGGGAATCAACAATGAGAGAAAGTTCACAACCCTGGTCATCACAGAGAAGGGAGCCGGATAT